TTGAAGGAACGGCGTCTCGCAGGCGAGCAATAGGCATAAAAGCCTAGAAGAGAAGGCGAAGTTCGTAACCGGTCGAATGAACATTTTCCGTGACGCTGATGTCGCCATCAACTTGAATGTCGGTAGGACCCGCGTCCCATTCGCGCTTCATGGCATGCACCGGCGGCGTACCAATCTCGTGAAACTCGGCAGTCATATCCTGTTGCTCGGGTATTCTGTTGACGGCATCGTCGTCCATCAAAATTTGCAGACCCTTCTGGTTAACGCGGATAGTCCGTGTAACCTTCGTTGGCTCGATCTTGATCTTCATTGCGATGCTTGCCACGAGCTCCTTTACAGTACGCTCCATCAGGTAGACTGCGCGGAAGTAGTTGTCGTCGGGTTGCCGACCAGCGAGCCGCGGTTGAACGAAGAAGCAGGCGACGGGCTTCAGCATCGGCTCTGGAGGCGGTTGGTAGGTTTGATCAACCCCAAGGGCTTCAATCCAACCAGACAGTGCGTGGTCATCAGAATATGGCCGTTGAACCTTGGTTGGAACGTCTGCGCCGCCTTGGACGCCATGCATCCCTTTGAGATCACCTGTGGCCGTCTGTGGCATGCTGCGCCATTCATTGGAGGACATACGCGATGGTGGCTGGTAGGGCGCCGGGCGCTGGAAGGAGGTAGTCCGGCGCTTCTCGGAATGGAGAGACTGAGAGCTGGGGGTTGGCGACACAACAGACGATGCTGCTGTCTGCGACTCGGGAGCCTCCCACATAGGCGCGTCTACGTTGGTGTCGAGCTTGGAGAGTTCTTGAGGAGTAGCGCCGAGGATCACTGGGTGGAGGTCTGGATCGTCCTGGTCCTCGCCCTTGAGGTATAGGACACTGACAGGCCTGGTAGAGCTGAACATGTCTTGGAGCGAGGCGAGCTTGATGTGAAGGTCTTCTTCGGCGGGTGCGCGGCCTCCTTGGTTGTCGCTTGTCGAAGACATGGACCAGGTCCTCTTGTGTTTCGGCACCTTCCCGGGTCGTTGGCTCATACTGCCCTTGGAGATTGATCCACTGCGTTTCCGCTTGCCAAAGTCCTTCATGCCAGACTCGACCTGTGCGATCTGCTGCTTTAGCTTGTCGATGGTCTTCTTGACGTGGGCAACATCGTTGGAGAGCTTCCTCTCGGCACCGTGGTCGCGGAAGAGCTTGACTTTGCAGTAGCAGAGCTCACCATCTGGCTTTTGGGGCGACGATCCAGTGGCTTCTGTGACCATTTCGGTCTTCGCGCATAGCCGGACGGGAATGCCCTTGACGCCCTTGGAATGGCTGAAATCGGTGGAGAGAAAGTTGAAACGCACGGCCAAGGAGCACTCGGGTGAGGAGTTGTGGGTTGGTGTCCAGGTGACCACGAAGCCATCGAACGAGGAAGATTCGAGTTCAACCCTGGGTCGTCCTTGGATCTCACCGCCGCTGACTTGGCTGGGGTCCACAAACTCAACTGCTTGAAGCCGCCCACCACGCTGGTGGGCCTCGTTGGTTCCGCGGCCCTCCTTCCACAGTTGCCAGCAGGATGCTGGTCGCTGGCGCTGCTGTTCGTCTTCGAACGAGATGCGGATGAAAGTCCTGTACTTGGTCGATGGAGACGGTGCTTGCGTAGGCGCCGTGTCTACCAGGGAGATGGAATAGGCCTGTCCCTTGTTCAGGTAGGTCACAGGGACTTCGTCTGATTGCTTGATCATGGCCGTTGGAGCATTCAGAGTAACATGGAAGCGGAAGCTGGAAGAGTCAGTATAATAATGGCGTGATGCAGATGGGGTGACCGACTTTTGATTGGGTGGAGGGGGTGCTGGTGCGACTGCAGCCGCCATGCCGTCGTAGGAATGGGGTGCGTAGCCGATCAGAGGCGACTGCTCTTGCATCTCGACTTCGGGGACCATGTTGTCCATAGACGAGTCCTGGTGGGTTTGCGTCATGTTGCCCTGGTCGAATGCAGAAGGCTGGTGCGTGAACTGGTGCGGTGCAAATGATTGGGAATGCTGCGGCTGCATGCCAAAGGGATTGACGTTCTGGAAGTGATGCGACCCCAGGGCGTGGGGATTGAAGCCATGGAGATGGTTGGCAGGCGCGACCTGGCCAGCGTGCAGTGCGCCTTCTGAAGTGGGAAGCGAGAGGGGAGTTCCTAGGCCAAAACTGAAGCCGGGCGTGTGGAGGTCGCCGGCCTGGCTGTGGTAGAGCGTGTTGGTGCCGCCGGGCGTCGGGGTGTAGTAGCCCGGCGGTTGGTTTGCGAAAGAGGTGAATGCGAAGCTGTTGGGGTCGAGCAGTGAAGGCGTGAACCTCCACGGCTCATTGTTCCCGCGCGGAGTCGGGTCCTGGTCCTTGATGTCCTCATGGTCGAGGTGGCTGGAAAACATGGAGTTAGCAAAATGTTGGGTGCAGGTGCAAATTGGGCGTCGGCGTTGTTGACGTTGGTGATGGTGCCGAGTGACATGGGATGGGGGGATCTCGGAAAGACGTACCGGGAGGGGTGCGCGACATCAAGCGCATCTGCGAGCGTGTGGCCGGGCGGCCCAGCAATCGAGTGCGAACGCTGCTGCAGATGGGGGAACGTGGCCTTGAAGTCCTCGAGGAGCTTTCCGTCGGGTTTTTGGCTGTTGAGTCTGCGCAAGTCAGTATGTACTTGATGACATGCAACGCGACGCGCGCAAATCACATGCGGGCTTGGGCGCGGGCGGGACGACGTACCTATTTCGAAACATGGCATCGGACGCACTCGCGGAGTTAGGTGATGAGCACTTGCGATTGCATCTGGCGGGTCGGTGGGAAATGGTCGGAGACTGAGCAGCAAGGCGTGCGGCGGCCCTGGGTTATGAGATACGGAGAGCAGCTGCCACGAGAAAGACGAGCCTTTGGGGTCAAGCCACACATGTCCAGGGCCGGTGGTCAGACGTCTTTTAGCTAGCAGCTAGCTCTCAGAGCATCCACAGGGCCTGACGGAATTGCAAGAGGGCCGCGCGTGGGCATGGGTGGAGCGTCGGGTCTAGGCACACGGTCCCTGCTGCTCTAACGCTACGGTTTTGCATGGCCCTAGGCGGCTTTGGTCCGCCGCCCTACTCTGTGCGCGACGTGCTGCCAGACTGATCACCCACCGCCCGGCCTGCACAGCCACAACCCTACGGCAGGCGCGAGCCGGCCAGAAGCCCTCACGGCCGCATGGGGAGCTGATAGTCGCTGCATCTGTCGCCATCCCGCACTCCAAGCGCACATCCGCCCATGGATGCTGGATCGCGCGGACCCAGCCCGATGTTTCTCGAATCCACTCCAGTTGCTACACCAGTGCGAGGCGCTCGTGCGCGGCTCCAGTGGCTTGATGAGTATTCCGTGCCCTGCCCGCAATTTGCTCGTCGCGACAGACGCTGCTCGCACACTATGCCCCCTTTGTCACCAGAGACTGTTGCGGCGCCTACGGTGTGCGTTGGCGCCTCAATGCGAAATGACATATGCCGGCCAGCTCCCGTTTCCACTTGTGTCCCGAGACTGCAAAGCCCTGGTCGCGCTCCTGTATTCCACGCGGCAGACGTCTCTGCCGCTGCTCGCCCTACCATTCCAGTCTACTGCCGGCCGCCTTCCCCTGCGTTCGAGCGCCGGATCAGAGACGAGGATGCCACCCCGCCAATTCGTCAAAGTCTATCGCCCAGGCCAATCCCACTGACGCCCGTTGGCCCTGTGTCGCTTGCGCTTACTCGGAAGACTTAATTCTTAACGTTATTTCACTACCTGTCAGGCCGAGATTAAGGAGTGGTTAGCGGGCGTTATCCCGAACGCGTTTCTATCCACCGACTGAACCATCAACGGCTTTCGTCATCGCCAGGCGCTTGGGCTTTGCATCTGGAGCCGTAAACGCATTGCAGCCACAAGAGCGAACGTCACTGCCTTATGCAGTTACACCAACCGCACTGCTGGCTGTTGCATGGAATGCTAGTCCGACACGGCCAATCGCACTGCTGGGGAAGCCTCGTCCGGTAGGTCCAACGGAGGATTCCACTGACGCAGCGATCCTTGTGTAAAAATAAGTGTGGCAACAGTTACAGACGGTGATCGACAACGGGAACTCTCGACGAATAACACGCCTCGCGCATTATCAGGTGGCAGAAACCTTTCAGTCAACTCGGCAATGATCGCCCGACTGTGGCACATCTTCGCACTCGCCACACTCAACGCCACACCTTGCTGATCACGCCTCAGAACAGAGTAGATAGCGAACGACGCGTAGGCTTGCAGAATGGAAGGAGCTGGAAAGGCCTTGTTCATGACTAGATGTTGCGATTAGATTCGAACATGTTCAGAGTCCAGCCGAGTAGCGCAGTGCTCTGGCGTAGTGTCAATAGCCGTACCTCCTGAGCGATGCATTGGCCATAAACATTCTAGAGTGAGGTCACCTCCGTACAACCGCGTCCGGATAGGTTCACCTCTCGACGCCGCCTTGTCATTGTGACAGCGCTTTGCGGGAGCAGCAGCAGTTGCGTCGTCTGATGTGAGCTGCCAGTTTAGCCATAGGCTGTCATCTCGCTAATTGACGCGACTAATTTTGGTTATTACGTGAAAAGCACTGCAATCTTAGACTGACACAAACTCCATCATCACAAAGCTGTGACAGACGCACTTGATAATAACTGTCGAATTATTCTCTTTCAAGCATACGGGATTTAGCATGACCCCACCATCTGTTGTAACGGTGTGAACGCTCCGGTCGGGACATTTCATAGTGAATCAATTATCCTTTCTGACGTTGGCGATTAGAATGCGTGGTACCGCACCATGTCTGACAGTCGAATCAAACTCAAACCGACGCGCTGAGTAACCGGCATGAAACACCAATCGCTGCCCGATTTGCCCAACATAACTCTAAGATCTCGATCACGAGTATATCAGACCTCCATTCATCAAACCGATGACGTTTTCTTCAGAACATCATCGCCCGGCCTTACCGAACCTTGTGAATTGTTCACTCGCGGAAGCGAAAGCCTCGGACTACCTTGAGCTGACCAGTGACGATGATTGACTTGCATCACTTGCAGCCCTCGCTGCTGCAATAGCCGTGATCGTGTTACGCAGTCCTGTTCCACTATGTTGGTTCCTCAATGCCGACGGAGAGTCTGGCATACGCAGGCTGTTGATAGAACTGTTCCTGCTCTGAAGCTCCGGTCGCATGCTTCCGATCGAATTTTCGCGGAATGCCGTAATAACACTTGAGCTTGACCCACGGCGACTGTCCTGAGGCCTGGCATAGACCGACTGGATGCTCGAAGCGGAATCTGCTCGACGGCTACGACCCAAGGATTGGACAGGGCTGGGAATCTTTGAATGCTTGCCCAAGTCCGCACCCAGAGTTTGGGACGATGAAGTCGATCTGATTGATCGCGTATCAAGCGCCGGGCGCCCAGTACGCATGAGAAGGGGGGTGTCTGAATCATCAGAACCACTCTCATTGGCCTCTCCATCAAGCGCTTTCAATTCCTCCGTGAGTGCTTCAAGCTGGTCAGCCCCAGGCTCGAAAGAAAACTGTCGGCGATGCTTTTGGGTTGTGTTGAGTTGGGGCTGCGACTGGAATTTTCGGAGGGTATGCCGCGGCGCAAGGCCTTGGTCGAAATACTCGTACGTTCCATTGTCAGAGCTGGTTTTTTGACGTGGGGTCTGGGTATCATCCTCTTCGACATGTGCTGTCAACTTCTCTGCCGATCTAGTCTGCGAGAACAGCATCATGAGACCATGATTGAAGCTGTTCACCTCTAGACCTCGACGTCTTGCGACAAGTGTACCGAGTGCCCGAAGAGCGATAAGAGCTTCGCATTCGGTGGCTGGCTCCATGCCGGTGTGCTCCAGAATCGTCATCTCGTCAGGCAAAGGGTCGCCAGATCCTCCCGAGAAGCCAGAAGCGACCGAACTAGTGAAAGATCGAGAGGGCCTCGTCTTCTGAATGGCAACGAGATTGAGCTCGCTCTGGACTTTGCGCGACAATGTAAGATTCTTGCTAGTCTGCGGTGGATTGCCTACAGGCAACTCTTCCATGTCGTTCGTGAACTGCGTTGACAGGACGGCCATCTTTCCAGAGGGGGACGACGGCCGGTTCAGAAGCGCTGCACAAGGTCAGCTAACGTACGCAAGGTGTGTGAGTTGGTTTGGTTCGGGAGAGGACAGTAAGCAAACGTATTTCGCCGCCACCACGATAGTATACCGAGAATATCTTCGCGGTACTATCGGCGGTAGAGTGGTCACGCGAGAGACTTATGTATGCGGCAACGAGAAGTACACAGTACACCTAAAGACTCACCTCTCTGACTCATTAACTTGATCTCCTGGTCAAGTTGCGCGTGTGAGAAGAAGTCGTATTTCGGCGGGAAACTGTCGTGCGAAATGGTCTTCCTATGACGCCGCACAATACTGTCTTGACGAGCCTGTATGAGTCTTCTTTCTGTTAGTAAAGGAAGAGCAAAAGATTGGACACTACCTAGGTACTCACCCAGTCATGCCACTGGCCCCACGAGCTATGAGTAGCTCTAAGCGCCGTATCTCCGCACCGTAACGATCTCTTGAGCGTGTCCAGTGCTCCTCGGCCTTTCTCCAATCCTTGAGTGTCTCCTCCAGCATTTCACTGAGACACTCCTTCTGCTCTCGTACCTTGCGATAGTCCTCGAACACACGGAAGAGGCCGCTATTGTGCTCCATTGGTATCGGCCAGGAAGTTGTTATCATATGCGATCGGACAGATGTTACGACGTCGAGCGGATCTATGTAGGTCTGGAAGGGCGCTGGTGCATCTTCACCCCATGGCGCAGAAAACGCGAACTCGGGCTCCTTGGCTGTCTCTTTGAAGTTGGCGAAGAGCGACGTGTAGCGAGCGAGCTTGGGCTTCGAGTCTCGACGTAGGGCTGGGGTATCTGAACGTTCGCTTGGTGCGTCATCTGCGTCTTCGGCGATAGGCGTGGTGTGCGCACCGCCTACAGGAGTCTGTGGTCTGCTGCTCTGTCGTGTCTTCCGCCAGGTAAGTTGAAGCCGACGATCACTCGAGTCATCGGTGCCTACAGGAGTGTCGACGTCAATCTTGAGCGGGGTAGATGTTCTCGGAGGCTTCTTTGGCTGCTTGCTGTGTCCCAAGCGCCAGCTTTTGTTGTCGGGCATATTCTCGTCGTCGTCCTTTGCTAGCTCTCTCGATAGATGCGTAGCGACAGAGAGCCCCGGGAGCTGAGATACGAAAATATCCATAGTTTCTGTGGGTCGTGATTGCCAGTTAGGTGAGATTGTGCGGGGCGACTGTCGAACAGAAGGGTAGGAGTTGTTGACTGGGAAAGCGCGGTCGTCTACGATCAGCTCTCACCTTCACCTCCGCTTCCGAATTTCAGCATGACGCGCCCTCACCACTGACGACGGCTATGAACGGCTTCTTGCTGCCCAGGTGAGCTCCAGTGTCATCTTGATAGGCGGCAGGCGCGACCTCGCCCGCTTTCACTGCTCGGAGATGTGAGCTCCTCGCTCTCCGCTCCTTCCTCACCTTCTTCCAAGGTTGTCACCTTTTTTTCACCTGAGAACACTTGAGTTTTCCGGAAGGTCACTCAGGTTTTGATCAGAATTAGTATACGCATCGGTGTTGCTAAAGAGATTCGTATCACGATAGCGCTGAGATGTCGCATCACGGAGACGGAAGGAGGGTGTCATGTTACCAGCGAAAGTTTTCGCTGTAGATCAAAAGTGCGTACAGCCGTGAAATATCGATATTGTAACACTGGGAACTTGATAGAATCCAGAGACGAGACGAGGAAACTGCGAAGAATAACAGTGATCAAATGTGCCGTCCACGAAGCGCCGGTAGTCAAAAAGTGCGGTCTCACAGACCGGGAACAGAGCATCGTCTCTCGAACTACGTGAAGTTGATGGTTAAAAGTCGCAGAAACGTCATGTTATTGTCAAAGGGCAATCCTCAAGATATGTCTGAAGTCTGCGGCGAAGCGAAGTGTCCACAAACGGCTAGCGCCAGCTGACCAGTTCAACACTCCCGAGGTCGCAACCTCGGGACAGTCACGGGCGAACGACCATCATTGCACCAACAACGACGAGTTCTGCCCCAGGCTTACGCGTATCGACGTTTTGGAAAGAGCGCAGGTCAACAGATGGTACTGGGCGACTGCTCGCATCGCATTGTGATCTCTGAGATCGTTGCCAAGGGAAGTGCTCTTCCGAGTTTCGGCTGAGTTTGAGTACCGTTTCATCTCACTCCAACCGCTCTGCATCACGGTGCTTATACGGTACTACAGTATCTTAACGAGTCTCCTCACCAAGGGAGAAGGATGAATGTGAGAGCAGGCTGGATGCCTTCTTCGACGATACCGAAGTCTGCTCACGTTGACTAGCACAGAAGGCAATCCTACATAATCGAAATCAAGCCGATACTACATATTCCATTGCATCATCGTCATACCCCATAAGGATTTGGGTACAGAAGCCGCGCGTCTCCCGTTCTTTGGGAAAGCATCGACATCTCTCCGACATTTTTGACACACTTCAACACACCTCATCCCCGGCCGTGCCCTTCCCGCAGAACCAGACCGCTCCACTCCCCGCCGTTGCTATGGAGCAGATCGTACTCCTTTCGCTAATACAGTACCAAGAAACAGGCAGGAAAGTCTAGACTCCGGTTTCAGCCTTCTCAGCGCGAGGCACAAAGTAAGGTACCAGGATGACTTTGTGATTGACAACGGCGCCTGATGACGACGACGGCGGTGTGCCTGTATGTCAGATGCGCCGTGGCTGGCAGGCTATAAGTTGGAAGTATCCTCAGGCTAGTAGACGCTTTCCTTACTTCAAGCTCACCATCAAGTCAACTTCTTCAAGTCAATCTTCTTGTTTTCCAACCTTTCTATACATTCACTCTTTGTCGCCGGGCGACTTTACCACGTTTACAACTACCTTCTACGCTTCTTCTACATCTACTCTCCGAGTTCAATAATCACCTAAACACTATTTCAAAATGAAGTTCTCCGCTGTCATCGCCACCATCGTCTCCATGGCCGCTTTCGCCATGGCCGCACCTGTCGCCAACGACGGTATGTCTTCTTTCCAAATCGATGACCAGGAGCAAAGACTAACAAGAAGTAGCAGTTGCCGTCCGTCAGAACCATGGCATGTGTGTCAAGGGCACCACCGCCGGTGTTGAGCAGATCGAGGGCTGCTAGAAAGTTTATACCCATGAGAAGACGTAGCAGATGGAGGAGCAAGATTACCACGAGTTGTGACTGGAGGAGAAGGAATCGGAGGATACAATGGTCATCGCAGAACGGCGGTGCCGAAACGATATAGAAGCGTCCGTTCTGGGTGCATTCAAGTAATACAAGACAATTGACAAAGCATCACGGTGTGATGGGCTTGAATCACTCTCCACGTTCCATGTTTTCTTTCTCACTCATTATACTCTACGGTGCTCGCCCTTATTCCTTGTGGTATTGCGGATTTTCTATCCACCCTGTGGCAATGATACTCATGGAATTGGTCTAGAACCATTCGTTCCTCGATAGCCTCGCGTTGACCTAACGTGGAAAGGTGCTTGCCAGTGGGCCTTCATCTAGACCGCAGAACTAGACCTTTGAGATCCGCTCTCGCGCTCACATATTGAGTGCAGATACGATACTAGATGCAGACAACATTTCTGCCTGAGCAGTGTTGGTATTTCACGCCACCACAGCAAAGGAACTCGAACATTACCCCTCACTGCCAAAGTACAGACTGTGAAAAAGAAGAAAAATGCGTAATTAGTTAAGTCCAACATGACCACATCGCTACATAGGTATATAAACGCTTGAACGCTTCCAAGAAAAATGTGCAAGATGAAAATGCCAGCAACATGTCGGTCAGGCACTATGCAAAACCATTACTTCCTCCTAGGGGTATGCACTCTCGCTCTGCTGCTTCTTCTCCTTCTCCTTCTCCGCATTCTTCCCCGGTCTGAAAGCATCCAGACTGATCCTCCTTCTTTCCCTGTCCCTGCCCTCATCTGCACCGCTAGATTCGGCCTCGCTTTCCTTCTCCTTTTCCTTCTGCTTCTTCTTTTCCACTTCTTTGATGGCTTCTCCAGTCAATTCTTGCCTGTTCATGCGTTCTACGACGTCCTTCTTCCTCGTCCTCTTATCACCCAACCAGATCAATAGACCGGCCGTTGCATTGCAGGCGATAGAGCAGCAGAGGATAACAGTGGTGATAGCAAAGGGACGAACCTTGTAGTAGATACCCCATGTGCACGCGCCGAGGGATATCTGGAGTAGAGAGTGGCAGTCTAGAAGTACGACGATGGCGACAAGGAAGCGGAGAGGGAAGGCGTAATGGGTCTCCGTCTCGTGGGGTTTGTAGAAGGAGTGTGATTTGCAGAATTTGGCTTGGTGATGTTCGAGCTTCTCTTGCTGCTTTGGAGTCAACACGGTGAATTCCCATTGTTTCTCAGGATCGCTTGGGTCTATAGCGCGTGGTCCAGATACAGGAGCGTGTTCGGCAGGGAGGTCATTATGATCGGTGAGGTCGGGAAGCATGTCCTTCTTACGACGAGACCATGTGAAATGGTGGTAGTGAGCAATGTAGATCATGTGGTATGTGTCGACACAGCGGAAGGGTGCTAGGCCGTCTCCTACAACAGCGAAGAGAGCAACAAGGACACTGTCGATGACATGGACGACGTAGATCTGCTGTCCGCCGACATTGGCCCAGCCGATGAGGAAGAGCACCCAGGCCAAGCCGAATGCGGTGATGAGGAAGGCGTAGAGGGTGACTAGGAAGCCAAGTGCTGTAGATTGTCAGTAATAGTTGAGAATATAGTGGTACAGATACTTACGTCTCCTGACATACATGCCGAATCCCTTGAGCGAGCGCTTCATCTTGGAACGTCTTGAGTGGAGCATGTGCCGTACGTGGTCGTTCACCTCTTTCTTGTCTTCGACGCTCCACCCAGACAAGTCAGTATCCTCAGGAAGAACAGCGAAGCGCGACTCAGTAAGCTGCGAATCTATCGTCATCATAGTGGCCGTCGTGGTCTCAGTCGCCGAGCGCTGGAATCTGGGAGCCGCCTGGGCCGCCTGAGCTTCTGCCTCCGCCTCGGCCTGAGCAGCACGAGCGGGTTCCAGTATGCGGTTGATCTCTTCCAGACTGTCGGTCTCGCTCTTCCGTCGCTTTAGGTTGTAAGTGGGCCGGCGGTTCAGCCATGGTAGGTTCGGAATGAAGAGCGAGTTTTGCATATTCGTCAAGGAAGTAAGTGTCGCGACTTCGGGGTCGATGGTGTCGAGGACATCGACCATGCCTGAGGTATAGTTAGACGACATGCCGTCTTCCACTGCAGGAGCAGGAGCATGAGCGCTTGTCGTCGGCGACTTCTCCTCTTCCTTCGTGCCCCAAAAGGGTATTCTAGTCTGTATCGCGCTCTTGACCTTCCGTAGTCGGCTTCTGTCCGGCTCTGGATTGTTGAGGGTACTCTGGCTCCCGTTGGCGGAGGAAAATTGTCCCAGCTCTGCCTCCTCGTCCAGCGCAGGCAAGGGCGTGCTCGCTCTTATTATAGAACCCTGTGGTTGCTGTGCGGATTGTCTTAGGGCGTTGGATGAGGGCATACGCCGTATGCCGATACTGGCTTGACGGCCGACTTGCGGTCGTCGTGGGTATTGCTGGGGTTTGGTCGGCGCGGAGCTGCTTCTTGCTCGTTGCGCGGCAAGAGTACTTGACAAAGGTCAGCATCGCACTCTCCTCTTTCTCGTGCCTAGAACATACCTGTACGTGACATGCGACGAGGGATCGGTTGCCCTGGTGGGCTTGGGGACATGTTGGCCAGCATCGATGGATGACTCTAACGAGGTAGGCGGTTCGATGACAGGTTGTTGCGTTGGTTGGTCCGCGGCTGCTCCAAAGTCCTGCGCATTCGTCCCAGGCTCGGCGCTCTGGATTCCTTCGTTGACGGCATGCGTGCTGGAGTTATCGTGGGGTGCCTGAGACTGCTGTGGAGCATGCAGCTCACCCGCGCCGGAGCCTGAAGATGTCGCGCCGGCACCTCTGGCGCGCGCGATACGCGTCTTCAACCTCTGTAAATCCATAACGACCACGGAATTGAGGATGGGGAACGCAAACCCCAGGGCAATTCCCGATAAACATGTCTTTATGACTTGGAAACGGCCGTGGCCCAATGCAGTCTGGCGGCTGAGGATTGGCTTTTACAAGCCTGGAATTTTGTCTTGGGGGACGTCATATTGCGCCGCAACCACTACCACCCCCTTTCCCCCAAGACGACTCACTCGCATCGCACGCGCGAGTAACGCTCGCGGGGACGGTCCACTAACGCCAGTCAGTGTTTGGACTACAGAGGTTAACGAGCGATCGTAAGGATCTCACGAAACGTACAGCATGTAGGGCGAGGCCGTTAGGGAGACATGCTCCAGGGAGCGACCTCGACTCCCCAGATCTGAAACTCCGGTTGGCACCCTTGCAATGATCGTTTTCGCTTACGGAAAACCGGATCCTGGGTGTCACATGCACACTGACGCTATGTCTCGCGAGTCGTGGATGTGTTCTGGGCGTAGCAACTACGAGATATTAATTGTTTTCGAGCATTGATACCGTTCCCATACTCAACTGTATTGATCTAAGAGGTTGCGGGATGATGCAGGGTCCTTTTAGGCGCACTGGTAGCTAGCGGCGGCGGGTACCTGACTTAGCGTATCTTCACGTTCCGTCCAGTACCGCTGGTTTGACGCTTGCCGTCTCATCTCAAGTCGCTATCGTTGGTATACTGACATTCTGCTCGGGGCCTTGAACACGCCTGCAGCATGATTTTGAAGATCATACACTGTCTGTCAGTCGAGAACTTTGGTTAAGGTGTTGCTTTTTCACATTCCTTCTAACATCTATGACGACATCCATCCCTCCATGAACCCGAAAGACCAAGAGAGGTCGATCGCAGCCCTAAGCGCTTATGAATCGTTTTCGAGGTATGTATCCAAATGATACAAGAACGGTCCGTCTGGTCCAAGTTCACAATCCCCCGCAGCCGTCGCTAGCCCACTCAAGAACCGTTTCGGCAAATCATCGCACTGGAGTAAACTATGGCCTCCGAAACCGCACCAACTATGAACAAGTAGCTCCCTCATTACATTACCAGCTACTGTACCTTTGTAGATAATCTTTATACACTCTGGACCAGGGGTTTTGTGAGCAACGTACCCATGGGGTTCACGGCGGCTGATATGCTCATACAGTGCCTGGGTCGCCAGATTACGGGTGTGTAGATCGAGCAGCAATTCAGCTATCACGTATACGTGACATATACTTTCAAGAACTTTTGAATCACCCTCGAGCGTGATGCGATTCGTATAGACGGCTTCCAAATAGTGCTCGACATCTTCTATTCTCAGCTCAGGATCAACATCGTAAAGATTGATAGTCTTCGCGTCAGAGTTATTCCAGCGGCCACTAAGCGCGTTGGCGAAGAACTTGGATCGCGACGTTATGATGGACTGGTGAACAAACAGCTCTGAACGCTGAGACTCGGGCCCAACGAGAACTTTGATGAGAGGTGAGGAGATGAATCTGGGATGCTTTCAGTAGTGGTATAAATTGAATGGCTGTTAGGACTTATTACCCGTCGACACCTAGTCTTAATACTTTGATGGATGTGTCAGAAGTTCTCCGTGGTGGCGTTGACATGGTGTTCGGACAAAGGTAGCGAGGTCGTTAAGTTAAGAGAAGAGCTCTTTGGTAGAAGAAAGAGAAAGAGAAAGGTGAGAACAGTCATGAATGTTGGTGTTGGATAGCGTTTCCTTTGCGAGATCTAGCTTGACAAACTTTCCGATCTTCTCACTAGCCGCTCGGCGGTTTGATCACCTGAGGTACGATCTCAACCCAATAACCCTAATAGCTGTTAGCATGGCATTTATCTCATCCAATTCCTTTCACTGGTTGGCGTCCACTTACATCCGGATCCTTAACGAAAGCCAGTTGTTTGAAGACATGCTTGTAGCCGTCTGGTACCGTTCCGTGTTTCCCTTCTACAGCCTCCGCGGGCAAGCCCATCTGCTTCTCTTTCGCCTCATCCAGCGGCTTGATGATCTCGTAGCCAAAGCTTTTGATCCTTTCCAGTGCTTCAGGGACATCTGGTACTGTGAATCCAATGTGACCGAAGCCGATTCCCGCCGGATTAGAGTAGTCGTTGCCAGAGGTATACGGCGTAGACGCGTCTGCGGGGATGTGGTACAGCTCTAGTAACCCCTTTGAGGTACCGAGGGTGGACATGCCTGTAAACGTTTCAGTATTCTGTCGGAGTTATGGGTAAATGTGTGTACCCACCACTATCTCGTGGTCCTAGGTAGTAAATGGTAAATGGACCAGCATTGAAGATGAAGACAACGTGCATGCCCAGGCAGTCACAGTAGAACTTCAAACTCTTCTCCGGGTCTTTGATACGGGTCATGAGATGATTAAGGCGGTACTCGGCAGTTGATGGTGAGCTCGGCCGTGGAGGAGGAACGATGTGCTTGCCGACCTCGTATGGTCCCTGTGGATAGTTTTCGTTAGAAGACGCCATGACTGTGCTGTCACAGATACCCTCGTCCAGAGCTTGCGTTTCTTGTGCAACCTCTCCGGCATTCACAACTACTTATATGTCATTATAGCTTACTAGTCTTAGTAGCCACATGTGGGGCATGTGGGGTAAGTTTGCGGCCTTGAAACCCTAAGAACATATGTTGGTTGGGTAGTGTGCTTCGTCTTTGAATGTTGCATACTCGGCATGCAGCGCGCCTAAAGAATATGTAGATCTTCTTCTTGGGAGAAGGGTGGCGCTTTCAGCTACACCCAAAGTATGCGTCACACTAGATAGTGGCGTTGATGAAAAGGAAGAACACACATATGTGATTGGGAATCTTTTCAGCTGAGCATTCTTCTCGATAAGCTCATCATCCCAGAATGATATCTCGGCGACTACCGGGAAAGCACAGGCGAGGATGTAGCTCAGTTCTTTCGCCGGAATCTACGCTGCGGACAGACATGACCCCTATGCGCTCTTTCATCCCATCTCTAGTACGCGTAACCAGGACGTAGTCTTTGCATATGACTACACCCTCGAATAGGTGGTTGCAGAGCGAGTAATGCAATTCCTCGTCGACATCACTCGTGACATCCAATAGCCATTCATGATCCTCGAAACTGCGCTCGCCAGAGCCGGAGATCATCTCGATAGTACCGCGTGCTGCGTACATTGCGTCTTTGTATGTGCTGGTTGGACGATCAAAAATGTGTGAATGCCGACGCCGTTTCGTTGGGATGTATGCGAACCGAAGGTAGAGAACATCAGCAACTATGCGCAACTGATAAGTGTAATCGAGCGCCAGATTACCGTCATTCTCGAAAGCCGTCTTCACCAATTCTTCCGTCAGAGGTTCATCTGTCCCATCGAACTTGATGACATGGAGTTCCACTGGCAGAATATTGTCCCAGGTCAACGGAGATGTGCATGGCCACAGAACAGGAGCAATCCAGCCCGCCCAGGACCAGCTAGGAAAGCCTTCTCGCCGGATAATCTTCGTGGATGTTTCCGGATTGACGACCCAGCATAGTTCCCGGCAAAACGCAGCATTGAGCTGATGTTTCACATCATCCAACTGAACACCATAAGCCCAAAGATGGGACCACATCCTAGATCTGGATTGGATCTCGGTACAGGCAGTCATGGTGTATGGTATGCCCCAATACTGATAACACGGGTTGTCTTGCGTGGAGAACGACCGGAAGAGACCACGCATTGCGTTTAGAACATCCGATTGATAGCTCAATGCTCGTTTCGTATAGCGCACGATATGCTCGCGGAAAGGATCGTCCCAAGTGCTTCGTATATAGGCACTGCTCCGCCCGATGAAAAACCCTGTTGAGCCAGATGACTTCTCCGTGGTGACTGATTCGAAACAGCTCATTGTGTTGCACTCAAAGATAACCTGCTCCTCAGTGAAGATGAGCTGCAGGCGTGAGTAAAACTCCTCTTGATACGTCCTGCACGGTACGAGTTCATGGTCAGTACTGATGAACACGTATAGATAAGGTAACTCACCAAGCTCTTTGGGACCAAGGTGATTCGCGAATGGGTGTTTTGAAGTCGTCTAACCCTGCTACCCATGTCGCGCCATTCAATTGAATGGAAGGAGGCGTAGTTCGACTTCGACCACCAACACCGGGTAGTCCATGATCAGAGTGATCACCAGCTGCAGCAACAATAGTCACTGCTGCCGCAGAATAGATCATAGCCATCATAGACAGCTGGGTTTGTAGTTGATGCGGATCAGATTGTTGGTCGAAACAATATCTTGGCGATCATAGTCAGCATATGTCCAACATGTTTTTCTGACGTGAATCCTACGCACTTATCGCACCACAGATATCGGTAGCCAAGCTTAAGGGTGACCTTCATTGCATCCTTGATCGTTTCTGGCAGGTTCAACAGGCTCTCCGTAGCACTGCCACAGCTAAGGACACTGTCGTGTTTGTTGGAAGCTGAAGGTTTACCCCAAACGTAGCTAAGTGCAACATACTCCGCACCTGGAGATGCCACGGTTATCTTGGATGACCTGCAGTCGATGACTTTGAGTGCAGTTCTTCCGGAAGCCCACAGCTGAGAAGTCTTGCCTTGATGCGAACATGCATCTCCATGGTAGGTCTTGCAGTGCGTAATCCACTTTCTTAGCAAAGGATAGTCAATGAGGTTCTTCGGTAGTGTACGGAATCGCAGGTTCTCATGTCCGGACTCTGGGAGAATGAAGCGGGAGACAGTGGAATCCTCTGATTGGACGTAGTAGTTCCGGAACGAGAAATCGCGAGGTCCTCCAACTGTTGAAGGTCCTTGATAGTCCAAGAGCCGAAAACGGGCTGATGTCCTAACGGTAGATGACGAACACTTTCCGTGTATTATAGCAGCAAAGAATAGACACAGCGGGCACTTGGAACCGTTCCTGACCACTAGCCTCTCGTTGCAGACACCAACTGGAACAGTAAGACGAGGTGCCAAGTTTTTGCATTGCATACAGAGAGTCGGAACTCTCGATTCCCTTGGAAGATCGGTATTTCGTGCAGAGGCAATGGCGTTCATGATGTTAGCGTTTCGGCAGAGGCGGCGCAATATCTATGACGTCTAGAATAGGGAGACGTGCCCTTCTTATGTCAAAAGCCCATAGCTATTCTCATGCTATCTGCTGCATGTATGCGTGGCATTGCTGCTTGAAGTGTGGCGGGGTAGGAGGCTCAGTCCCGCGCGTGAACATCGAAGAAGCCCCGAGGCAAGGCCATCAGAACGCGCTAGCAGCCGCCCCGCGAACAAGGGTCCAGCGGCAGTCCAAAGTTTCGAGAAGGAACATTTGCGCCGCCTCAACACCACCACAATACCGCCGACATGGAGTTCCAAAGAGGAGAGCGCGTAAACTTGAACTTCGATACCGGCGCAGTCGAGAAGCTGGATCAGGAAGAACAGCATGAACTCCCCATGCCATCATTCCCCACGTTCGTGGGCGACATCCAAGAGCGCGAATCATCACCAGCTAATCCTCCAGTCGCGCCCTCGTTCAAACCAAATGTGAATGGTTTCCCGGCGCACAAGAAACGCGTACCGAGAGTATCGGCCTTTAAACAGCAACGCGCCGCAAAGGAACAACAAGCTGCCGCGCCACCGAAAGCGCCGGCAACGACGCAGGATGCGCCTAAGCCGCGGAGCGCATTCGGTGTGGACAGGGACGAGGAGAGAAGGACAATAGATGAGGAGAACAGGCAGACGTTGGCAGCCATGTCAGATGCGGAGATTGAGCAAGAGCGACAAGAGCTCATGTCAAGTCTCAACCCAGCATTGCTGCAGAAGCTGCTTATGCGGTCCAATATTGACCAAGGGAGCAACGAGCGGGACTTCGATACAGAGCCGCCAGCACCAGCAACTACTGCTACCCCGCCGACTGACGAACCCAAGCCAGAACCTCAGCCAAAGACACCAAGCACGAAGAAAGTCTCCTTCGCGGCACCAGAACCCGAAAACGAAGCGCCGTCACAGCCAGCCTTGACCTCAATACCCACCGCGCAACCCCCATCAGACGAAAACACCACATTGACAGCCATGCCCGATACGAACGACTCAATACATTTCCCTCAACCCCCACAACCGCCCGACCTCGACCCAAACGACCCCTCGTTCCTGAAGAACCTCCACGAGAAATACTTTCCCACGCTACCCTACGACCCCTCCTCGCTATCATGGATGTCGCCCATTGACCCATCAGACAAGAAGTCGCCCTACCACCCCTCGCAAACCGCTCTCAACCCCGCCGAACTCCGCTTCGACTTCTCGGGCAACTTGCTAGCACCCAGCGTCGCACGATCGATGCCGACCGACCGGGGTCTCCACCACCATGCCGAAGCCCCTGAGGCAGCAGGCTACACAATTCCCGAACTTGCAGTTACGGCGCGGAGTAAAGTCGCGAGTCAACGGTGCATCGCATACCAAACCCTGGGTCGTATCCTATACAGATTAGGGAGAGGAGAATTCGGGGTTGAGAGCACGGGGCAAACGACTGATGGGCCGGCTGAGGTAGCCAAGAACCCAGAGGTGGAGGAAGACGAGGATGGAGAGGAGTGGGTGGAAGAGGATGTTGGCAGTGCCATTGCAGGCGGACTGTGGCAGTGCGTTGAAGAAGGGCGGGTGATTGAGACGTTGACGGAAGAGGCGAATAAGGAGAGGGGTCATCTGACTGCACGCACGTTTGCTCAGGAGGCGCTGTGGAATTGGCGTAGGGGCGGTGGGAGGAAGAGACAGGCTGTGTGAGCTTCACAATTCAAGTAAGACGACGGATGTATCACATAGATGTATGATATCACGAGAATTCCCCATATGAGTTCGAACTCATCGTTATGCATTACCCGTATTCTATTCATGCCCCATTACCGATACCAAGATGCTTGTCAGCACGACTCATCGGTATCACAGCATACGCTCAACGTAGCTCAAGTCGGCTCGCACATCGCGGGCCCACATCCGGTTGATCGGTCTGTCCAAAGCCTTCATAGTTTTTGCCCCTCTTGGGCGGAGACTCCAATCGAACCCCCTTTCTCTTTGCCGGAGGAGTAATGCTAATAGAAGAGTCTAATCAGCAACCGGTAACTTGGAAAGAGGAAGATAGGAGCAGGGGCTCAGAATAGAAGAGAGCTTACTCCTTCTCCACTCCGTCGATGACAGGCACATCCTTCAAGTCTACCGGCTCCAACGCGGGCATCTCATCGTTAGAATCGTCGTCGAAAGTAACATCCTTCATCTCAATATCCTTCTGGGTATCATCCTCGGTCTTCTCAGGCTGGCGGCACACGGCCTCGGTATAGTCGTCCACAAGATCGGCTCTTATGTACACGACACCTGTGCTGACCTTCGGGCGGTGTGCTTCCTCCTTGTCGAGCACTACGCTCTCCTGCTCAACTTGATCTACGTTCTCGTCATTGTAGACTCTCCATTCATCCTTGTGGAAGTCGTAGATGTAAATCCAGTAATGACCACTTCTGACGTCGCCGCGGTGGGTAAAGACAGCATGGAGACGGTAGGGCACGGAGTTGCAGTCCTCGAAGACTGTGTCGATTTTGGATTCCAGCAATGTTATCTGGTCGTCGATGCCTGACAGATCGGCAGCGAGGTCGGCGGCACGGGTGTGGAGCGTATCAGAGAGTTCTGGAGGTGGAGTCGGGAGGAAGTCCTGTGACGAACTCGGTTGTTCATGCTCTGACTTCTCTGTGGCCAGACTGTTGACAAAGTCGCTCGTTGCCTCTAGACATTCAGGGAGGTTCAAGCCCTCAATGCCTGTTGTCTGTAGCTTTGTCCTCTTAGCATCTAGCTCTCGCAACTCTTTCTGTTTTGCCCATTGCGCTTTGCGAAGCTCTAGCAGCTGCGCTTCGCTTAGTGTCGGTGTTCTCGCCAAGTAACGATCCATATACATCGTTTTCTCCAGGCCGATGTGCGAGTGGTCGTATACAGGCTTGCCCTCCTTGAACTGTAGCCGCTTCACGTTTATGATCTGGATGGGCGCAGCCTTTTCAACGTAATCGTATCGCATACCGCCACCATCCGCTATCTCACCCAAACCGAAGTCTTCGTCCAGGGTGGCATAGAGGGAGCGGTCTCGTTGTCCAGTGGCGACAAGAAAATGGTCTCGAAGCTCTTGAACCTTCTGCACGCCGTCTGACTTTTCCATTACTGTGGTGACGTCGCCGAAGAACAGGTTCTTGATGGCGTCTCCTTGCTCACCTTCGCGCAGAATGCTGTCACCTGTTATGGCACAGGAAATGAGATCAAATATGTTCGACATGACTTCTGCTGCATCCTGTTGTCGAGCGCTCTCCTCAATCCTACCAATTCTCGAAATCGATTGGACAGCAGGTTTGATGGCCGGTTTAGGGTCTGCCCGTGGTGGGATTGGCGGAGGCCGAGTTGGTGGGGCAGGCACATCCCCCTCGCTCTTGCCTGCTGCAATGTCGTCGTTCATGACAGAATCAGCAGGTGTAATCGGCGCCGCATCAGCATTCTCCATGACCGAGTCTGTAGGATTTGTGTTGTCGCCAGTCACGGCTGAGCCGGCTGGAGCTTCTGCAGGAGCGGACTGCATCACAGCAGGTGGAAGCATCGGTCCACTAACCGCAGCTCCATCAATCGTGCCCAAGCCTGCGCCGTCGGTAGTGTTTACTGGTGGTGACTCCACTGGATCCGCGGGATTGTCTGATTTGCATAGTGCGAGTGAAGCGAGGTCTATGGCAGGCTGTACCGTGTCTGTGGATGCGGTGATCATGCGCTCAAACAAAGTCCGCAACTCCCGGACGACTACGCGAGGTTAGCATCGATCTGAAGTAACGAAAGACATACTGACATTTCTGTGCCGTCAAAACCCTTTCGGCTGTGACCCACATGCGCCCAACTTTCTTGTTTTTCAAGCTTTCTGGAGAGAGATCTTGTAAGTATTTCTCGCAATTAAGAATGAGATCTCTCAAGGGCTTGATGGTGAACAGGAATTGGAGAACGCTGTTGAGATAGCAGGTATTGCCGATATTGCGGAGCCCAACCGGCCATGAATCGAGGGGGTATTTGTTCCTTCTGGCTTCGGAGGGGTTGACGTGGTTGTCGCCAAACCTCTGTGACTGGTCGTTCTCGATAAGTTTATACGCTGTCTCCATGCGTGCTCGTTCGCTGGAGCCAATATCGTAGGTGCTGACTAAAGAGCCCAAAACTGCAAGTTCGAGCTTGACGGTTCTGTCTGGTTGTTGGAAAAGGGCGTAGGCTTCACCGAGGTCCATTTCAGGCTCGCTCATTGCCCCGAACTTGGCGAACTGTCGCAGTCGTTCGCTGTTGCGCGCATCTGCTATGATATCCAGGGCTTTCCTTGCAGATTCTATGCTTGCGGGGCTGTCCTGAGTCTATTTGAGTGTTAGCAATCGTCAGAACAGCAAACAAGTCATGTCGGGACCCGACGTGCACGGTACCTTTAGCGAATACATGGTCGGGATGAAATCGTCGGCTACACCAAGCTCAAGATCGAAGAACGCCATGGCCTGCTCGTACGTCTCGATAGACCCAGAAGCCTCTGACCGTATCCTGTCGCTGTCACGCACGTCTCCGAGAACTCGCAGTTGCTTTCGTGCCTCCTCAGCCTGTATAACGCTGACATCGGCTAGCCGCGACCGGAAACATCCTATGATATGATCGTCGCCTATCACGTTTGCGTGGGTTGGATCAATCCCAAAGTACTGGTAGGCACGCTCGGTATCGCGTTTGCTAGTGAGACCCTGTGAGGCCAACAAAGCAACCTGCATCTGAAGCATCTCACTTTGGCGACCGGCAGCGAGATCCTGCAAGCATTCGAAGTAGTAAGCCTTGTTCTCGATATCGACAGCGCCTTGTCGAGAGAAGGCGAACAGGATTAAAGCGTCGTCGAAGTCACCGACAGCGCCTAGACTAGCGTAGTAACTACATGTCGTCAGTAAGCAGGAACGCCGGTGAAGGTGAAAGCGGGGCACATACGGGTGATCTTCTTCGTGGTTTGTACTGCGTGTCTCCCGTCCCTTCGCCTTAGCGTCTGTGCAGCTTGTCAGTGTCCACATTGTGTAACAAGCGGGGCGTATATGGACATACAATCCGCGCATGCTAACGCTCTCTCCATATCGACTCGGGACGGTGTGGGATACATGGGCTGGTGTCTGCAGCCCACTCGTTCATTCTCCGGCATGCTAAGTATTAATGTATTCAGCTCGTAGCGAGCGTCCTCGATCTTGTTGCGCAGCGTCGATTCGAGAGGAGATGCCGCTTCGTCGGGCCTAGGGAGATACCAGACTTCTACGATGGCATCCTCTTCCTCTTCCTGGCGGTTCTCGAAGCCCAGGCGCCGTAATATTGAGTCGCAGTCCCTGCCGAAGGTCTTGAGAAACTTCTTGTTCAACAATGGGATGCGCGCCTTGCCCTTCGCGGGCTTCAACGAATCTTGTAGGTATGTGTTCAGGTAATCGGGAGCATCGACCTTCCGCGCCATGTTTGCGTCTGCCCGGTCGCCGGCGATCTGTTTCGCTGCTTCCCATCGTCTCCTGAGCTGGGCCTGGTCGGTCAAAGTGACGATATCCTGGTCCGAGAAGCATGGCGGCTTCATGCTAATCCGTACCCTGACTGAGCACTCGGGCGCAGTGCAGCGGAAAGTGTAGGTGCGCGGGCGCAGCTGAGCCTCGATTCCACCGGTACCACTCGAGTTGTCTTCTCCTTCGTAGAGGAAGTGGTGCAAGGCATAGTCCTCGTTGCCCTTCCCACACGACTTGATCCTGGTGGCATCGGTGCGGTGGTCGACACGCACATCGACATGCCAGCGACACTTGTTGCAGTATGAGGCGACCTTGTATGTGGTATTCGGGGTTGCGTCTTCGCCTGCAACCGGCAACAGCGACTGCTCAGGCTTGGTGAAGAAGATGTGGCGGCAGTTCCTGAAGGGTACGGCGGCGACTGCTGGGGCTTTGCTGTCGTGTTGCGGCGGGGCACTCGTCAACAAGTTCCGACCGGCCCGTTCTTCGTGTCGCGGATCGTATGTGAAGAGGTCCTGGAGTAGCCGCGGCGCCGTCTTGCCTGTGAGTCGTGGTTAGCACACGCTGGTGGGACGAGGGTGGACAAAGTACCAGGCGCCATAGCTGCTGTGCGCGGTGGGGAGCAATAGTGTGGCTTATACTATGGATGACAGAATGGTGGGTTTACTGGCAGCACAACATGCACGGCGAGATGGGTGGAGAAGGGCGAAGACGGGAGAAGTTGCTACTGTGTGATTGAAGCGTTTACAGACAGAGCATCGTGGGCGGCGACCGCCTAGTAGAAGCACTACAGTGCTAGATTCAGGAAGAACAAGACAGCTAGCCCACGTGAATAGCCCTGACGCATGAAACTACGCACAGAAAGACACAAGACCGCAACGGTACAAGCGGCGAGGCACACGGGCTCGCGGCATTCACTGCGACAGCTCGACGACGCGGCGCGCGATGATGCAGCCAGTGCCCGCCCGCCGCCGCTTGAGCCCTGAGCGCCAAGACGCTTATGGTCTGGCGCATCTTCCCGCTGCCGACTTCAACAACGTCGATAGAGCTCCCAAGACGACACCCACGCCCAATTCGCCCGCCATGGCCGACCAATACGTCACCTACCACCCGCGGGACGCTCTCTCCAACACTGCGAACACGACGCTGCAGACCACGGCCGCCGGCGCCATCATTGCCGGTGTCCAGAACACTCTCCGGAAGCAGAATGTCGGAGCCATGGGCATCCTCACCCGGTCGGGAGGCATAATCGCGCTATACGGTCCGTACCAGGTCAATTGCAGGAAAATGCATCGGAACGAAGCTAATTGACGTGTAGCCGGTGTGGGAGCCGCCTACCAATTCACACTGGACGCGACCAGCAACCTGCGACAAAAGGATGACTGCTACAGCGAGGCAGTTGCCGGTTTCGTGGCTGGATGCGGTGTCGGTGTTGCCAGTACGCATGCTCAGGACCGATACATACGCCGGTACTAACAGTTCACAGGGCGAAGCCTTCCATTCATGCTCGGTGCCGGAGTATGCTTCTCCACGGTCCTCACTGCCTACCGTTACACTGCTGGAATGCGCGGTATTGGAGACATTCGCGACCAGGTCGATGACGATGGCGAGGTTGAGCGCAGGGAAGAGCTGAAGAAGGTGCGCAGGCGGCCAATGTCCGAGACTCTGCAGCAATTGGGCGAGGGACGAGGTATGTCCAATAAGGGCCAACACACTCTTGCTGAAGCTGACTTCACCAGGAATTTACGGACCCGGATACGAAGAGAGGAGGCGGCAACGACTGTTGGAGAAGTACGGCGTCGACGTCAAGGCAGCGCAAGAAGCCGCTTAGAAGCATTACACATTTCCTTGGAGTCACAACGCAAACACCACACAAACCTGGGCCACATCTGGCTCGTGTATATACCTCAAACAATCGAAGACTTTATCAAGACTCTTCTTCGCCCCCAAGATCAATGCATGGCGTCAGCCCTCTCATCTTAGTCTGCTTCAACGACATCGAACATTCGTCTCTACTATCAGATAACTAACTTGTCAAAGTGCTGAGCTAAGGAAGGACTCTACCATAGTTGCGCGTAAGGATAAAATCCATCTCATCGCTTATGCTGCAGGCCGACTGGTATTGTGCATTGGACAGGGTTCGTGTGCGATGTGCGGAGAGCTTATAGTGATGTTTGGATTCCTCCAGTTCAAGAAATGTATTTCGGATGATAGCCATGCTTCAAAGATCCATACATCTGACAATGCGCGAGACGCTATTGGTGAAATGCGGGGTAGCGTGCATCCCACCAGTTCGATGATGTCGCGTCTTTCGACCCTCAATCTGGTTCTACTAGTAATTGGAATCGGTGACACAAAAACCTCTACATTATCGACCTATTGTTGCCAGACTGTTTCCCAAGATCGTAGGCTCTGTACTTCATTGGTCTTCACCATGTTGCGGTTTTTCGCGCGCTCCATGCGCGTCTCTTTCAACCCCACTAACCAACCCACCGACGCGTGAACATCTCCCCAAGACCTTCGAAGCTCAACGCATGCCAAAAGACAAGAATACGGCTGGCGAATATTCAAACTGACACTTCAACTACCTTAACGTCGCGACAATACCCGACGCGCAATGGCCGAGTCCAACCTCAAAGAGGCCTTCTACCGCCAATTCAACCAAGATGTCGCAAGTCCGTCTCCCACATACCAACCACAGCACGCGCCATGACTAACACACTCAGCACTTCGCGCGCAAATTGAGAACCTCTCCTCCGTGTCCACATCTGGCGGCGAGCGCAACGAAGCAATAGACAGCTGCCTCGCAGGCATAAACCGGGTAGCCCTCGATGTCCAGGACGCCTCGAGCTATCTTCCGGCGTATGATCAACGGACGTACAGCGAGGTGTGTCATATACCCAAAACAGCAAAGCCATAAGAAGAGCTGAAGGCTGACAAGAAAGTGTATAGACGATCAAGCGTTTGAGCGAGAAGTTGTCAGAAGTGAGGAATAGCTTCGATCCACCCAAGAAGTTCAGTTTCAAGAACAGGAGGAAGGATATCGCGAAACCAGACGCTGCACCTGATGCATCGAGCGCGAAATCGTCCTCCACATCGGAACAAACACCACCATCACAGCAACAGCAACAGCAGCAGCACGACACAACGCAACACGACTCTTCTCCGTCAGCGCTCTCCGGGAAATCCCACGCCCGTATAACCCTCCCTTCATCTCCTCACCAAACAAGTTCACCGACAGTATCCCACCTCACCCACTGCGTCGTCGACCTCAGCGCCCCAACGAAAGCAAACGCGCCCTTTGCCGCCCTCTACCTCCGCTCCATAAGCTCGTCGCTCATAATAACAGGCCAAGTCGCAGGCGCAATACACATCACCGATGTCTCCAACAGCATCATAGTGACGGCGTGCCGGCAATTTCGCATGCATGGGAGCAAGAACGTGGATGTATATCTACATAGCACGAGTCGGCCGATCTTTGAGGACTGTAAGGGCCTGAGGTTTGCGCCGTTGCCTAGTGTATATGTTAGTCTTCTCTTTGGCACTTGCAGTCTTTGCTGTGTAAATTGGGCTAACGACCGTATAGACGACACCGGAGATCGAACAATCGCCAAATCAGTGGGATCAAATCGACGACTTCAAGTGGTTGAAGGCTGAGCCAAGTCCGCACTTCAGTCTGCTACCTGAAGCCGGACGCATTTCTGAAGACGCGTGGAATGAGAGCATACCCGGGGACGAAAGTGAGAGCCCGGATAATACCCTGGAGGCCTTCGGTGTACGGTGACGGAAACCGACCATCAACACAGCCATGTAACAGGTCTCTCAACCTTGGCGTACACTCTAGCCACTGTGGCTTTCTGGCTTGTTTCAATCATGACACATTCTGGGAAGACGTCACAGTGCAACGAAGATCTTTGTTAATGGCCGAAGTAAAAAGTGTTGTATATTACATGCATGCTGATCTGTTGCGGCCGTGTAACTGGTAGTACATGTGAGGAAAACCCTGTCTGGCTTAAAGAACACTCCCTAAAAAGATCATACCACTTCCCTTGACCTCGTCAGACCCACAGTGTAGGTATGTGGACAGAGTTGGAACGCTCCATGCTAAACGCTATACGCGATGCAAGAATGTCTCACCATGTCGACCTCCTTCAACAACAGCGCATCTCCTTCACGACAGAAAGAGACCGATGAGAGAACCACGCTTTGGCTTATGCAAAGTGAGCGAAGACGAGGGCGACGACAATAGCCGCGAGGGAACTCTTTCCGGCACCGACGACATGGCCGGTGTTGATGGGCACTTCGATGTAGCTGGGGTAGGGGGCAACAATCGTGCCGTTGATGCCGCCAGATGGGTAGGGATAACTGCAAAGACCGGTCAGTGAATATAGAAAGTATCAAGAATCAGTAAGACGTACCCAGATCCGGAGGGACCACCAGAGACACCTGAAGGGACGCTGGTCGGGATAGCTTGCGTATTCGTGTTGGTGTTGGTGTCATTGCCAGGCACGTCTGAAGGTCCTGCCGTGATGTACGAAATGAGAGTCTGTGTCTGATAGCTCGTAATCCTAATAGTGCTATCGATGACCGTGGATCCAGGACCTGTTGTGGGCGAGGGGCTTGGGTAACCAGGAGTAGTAAACCATGACGCTGAGTACGTGCCAGGGGCGGTACCTGAGGACCCTGTGGCGGTAGAAGACGTAGACTCTCCGCCTGTGTATGTCGGAGCAGCTTCGATAGAGCTTCCAGGCGGGGCAAAGTAGCTGCTTGATGAAGGTCCGCCTGAAGGGCTTCCAGAGGGTATAGCAGAGCTGGCACCCGGGTAGGAAGCTGTAAGAGAAGTAGGTACAGCATCCGTGTTGGACCTTGTCAGTGCAGTTGAGCTACCTGATGGCACGAGGTATCCACTGGAAGACGGTCCAGCAGGGCGAGATGGGGTAGCCGAGTAGCTCGATGACACTGTTGGTCCACTTGGGTATGGACTTGCGGGCGATGAAACTGTGATGGAAGTCGGTACGGCATCTGTGATAGAGCTTGATAACCCAGCTGAGCTAGCTGGCGGCACGACATAGCCACTCGACATTGAGCCGGTGGAGGCGGCTCCCGGAGACGTGGGCACATAATCCGTATTGCTGCTCGGTGGCGCGGATGAGCCGGACGGTACGTAGCCTGGTGTTGAAGGAGTGGCTGGGTTACCAGAGCTTGGCCCTGACAAGGTGGTACCTATGGACGTAGGAACTGCATCGGTATTGCTGACGGGTGGAGTTGCTGAGCTGGCTGGGAAAGTAGAGCCGGTGTATGACATGCTTGAGACCGCTGAGCTACCAGGGTTCACGGGACCTGGGTTAGTGGGTGATGAGACCAGCGAGCTGCCCGGAGGTGCGACATATCCACTTGAAGAGCCAATGGAACTAGGCCCAGCTGATGAAGCGGGATATGAATTGCTAATGGCGTTGGTGTTGGTAGATGAAGGAACCACAACGACACTGCTTGCTCCAGTCGAAGGCAATACATCTGTGACGATGGTGACTCCAGTGCTTGGAGATCCTGATGGAAGCACCACACTCACGCTAGGAGGCGTAGCATATGCGCTGGATGGGGAAACACCTGTTGGCAGAGCACTCGTCTGGGGAGCAGACCCACTGGGATATTCAGAGCCACCTGGGAAGATTTGAGACCCTGAGATGAGGCTGACAGAGATGTCCACGGAACTGGTGGGGTAGGCGGAGCTAGCAACTGATGAAGGAGCAGCTGTGGTTGGAGGTGGCCCATACCCAGGAGGCGTCGAAGAAAGTAGACAGATCGTGGTTGTTGCAGTGACATAGACAACAGATGTCTCAGCAGTGGTGGTATAAGGAGGGCAGCTCGCAATATCGGTGCAGATCTCCTGGATCAGGTGGGTTGACGTAACCATAATGACCGTGGAGTGGGTATCAGTGAGGGCACGCTCGACACCTGTTGACGTGTCAGAGTTGTTCGAGCAGTCAAAGAGCAATTGAAGTGACAATGCTGCTGAAGGAACTGCGTGAAGTTGACTTACGAGGAGCTGCAAGAGGCTGGACTGCAAGAGCAGTACCCCCGAAGAGGGCGGCAAGCTGAGTGACCTTCATGTCAAGCGTCGAGCTGGCGGCTGTGGTGAGATGGGATTGAAGAGTGCACCGGATGGGCAGAGGTGAGCAAGATGACCAGATGAACAGGCCAGTTGCTGACGGAGGGGCGAGAAGGAGTGTGGTAAACGAGTGTAGGAAGTTGAATGCAGAAGAGAGATGATAAACACTGGACGATGGACTTTATCGGGGAGGCACGAGTGCCAAGGGATGGGTGACCGCCTTGAGAAGCCTCGGGGGTGAAATTGGGAAGGTGCACCCAGATCATGACAGATTGATTCGGACAGCGAGGGCAACAACGCCGGAAGCCACCGAAGTGGATGAGAGTACAGCTACGTCATGAGAAATCGATCTCGAATCAGACTACAATCGCGATTGCGGATAGGGAAGCTGCACTGTGGCACATGAGCGGACCTTGACCCGGATGCTGAGTAGGGCTGAGTAGGACTGGTGGCGAACGACCAAGTGCTGTTCAAACTCACATGTGAAGACCAGGAGGATCATGTAGAACATGTAATTAGAAGAATGAGATTCTACATGCATGCGGGTATACTATAGCTTGTCATCTTGATGCTTTTAACCCAAAACGCCCGGATGTGCCAATCCGTGTATGGACACCCAAAAACCTAGCTCGGTGCCAGACGCTACTGACGTGTCGGCAAATACGCTCCACCAGCAAGTACCAGGTTCATTCTAGTGAACTGCACCTTGTACACGGGACTGTCCTTGGTCGGAAATACGCTGATCTGGTCCGCCGAGACGCCGGTCTCCTTGCTGGCTTTCTTCCCTGTGACTGTAGTTCCACTCGCGCCCTTGGTAGTCATAGCACCGTCCGCCTTCGCAGCCACGCCATCAGCAGCCTTGTCACTGGTCTCTTGGAGCACATCCCAAACACGGACTGTCTTGTCCGCTCCGGCCGAGACGAGAACGCTCGATTCCACACTCCAGGAAAGCGACCAAATACCACCCTTGCCGTGTCCTCGCATGCGCTTCCGCCTTCGTCCAGTCTCAAGAGTCCAGAGAATGATGTTACCTGCATCATCGGCGGAGGCAAGCGTCCTGCCGTCGGGAGAACATGCTATGGCGGTCACGTTGCCCGTGTGGCCCGTGAAGAGGCGTAGACAGTTACCACCGGCGATGTGCCACATGCGTACCGTGCGGTCGCAAGAACCAGTGAAGATGTAAAGGTTATTGGGATGGAAAGTGACGCAGTCAACGTCATTGTCGTGACCGACATAGATGCGTAGAGGTTCAATGTGATCTGTTGACCACAAGCGTGCGGTGCGATCATTTGAACCAGTAAGGAAGTAGTGTCCATAAGGTCCCCATTGTAGATCCCAGACTGGATTGTCGTGTCCGCGATAGGCTACAAGACATGTGTATGTGTCTAGCGACCAAAGTCGGACTGTTTTGTCCTCCGAACATGAAAGAAGGCATTCTGAATTTGTTGGTGGTCCGGATGGGTACGGGTTTGCTGTGGAAGGTGAGAAGGCCACTGCAGTGACTGGACCCGAGTGGCCGACGAGCCGTCTTGAAGACGACGGTTGTGCGTCTGGCGCATCGTTTGGAGAGGTGAGTGGACTGCCGTCCATGGACCAGACCCGTATGTAAGACTCGTTCATACCGGCCGCAACAAGCTGATTGTCACCAGAGAAGTCGATACAGTTGATACTATCATCGGGTCAGCTGCATTTTCGGGACAGAATAACGAGTGAACTTACCTGTCATAGGTGTTATGGAAGGTGTACATGGTGACGCTGACAGCTGGGCCAACGCCGCCTGTTCTGCCTTCCATCTTGTAGCGATCCCGGTGCTCGATGATCTTCTGAACCTCCATGGAGACGTCGCGCGCAAGGGAAGGTGGCAGAGGCACGAACTCACGAGAGGGACCGTCTTCTGTTGGCTCTTGTTTTATGCGTTGCTCGAACTCCTCTACCAAGCTTGGCTGTCCCGGTCTTGGCGCGCTTTTAGCATCCTCGTCCTGTAAAGCTGCTCGGACGTCTTCCTGCAGATCCGCCTCTTGTGGGTATGCGCCTAGCTGCAGCCTTATACGGGCAGCCTCTGCTTCAGGGTCGTGGCGCGCAGTGAGGGGATGGCCTGGGGCGTGTCCTGGGATACCTTCGTCCTCTGCTGGAAGCTCGTCTTCGCCATGTCCACTTGCAAGGATCGCTGCAATACTCTTCTCGGCTGTGGCGGTTCGGTCGACGGTTACGATGTTCAAGTGTTCCCGGATCACGTCTATGATTGTCGAACCGCCGTCAAAATGCTTCGACTCGAGGAACTGAATGAGATTGAAGAAGGGCATTGTCGTCAGTGTGATGCGGTATTTGTTGTCGATGTATAGCTTCGCGATGCGGCTCTCCTGCAAATGTGCTTGTAACCGGACCTGGCGGAGTGTTTTGATATCTTCATCGTGGTCGCGCTCGAAAAGACCCTGATACGTCGCGAAGAAGGTTTCCGCATCCTTGGTGTAGAAGTCGCGCACCATGTCGAGGTACGAGTAGACGAAGACAGGCCACAGCAGCTTTCGCAACTCTGGTCTATACAGATCCAGGTTGTCTTCGGTGTATTTGCGAAGGAGCTCGAATGCTTTTGTGTATCTCGCGCCGCCCGCTTCGCTGCTTTGCGCTACGAGGGATTGGCCGTTGGTCTGCGGTTCAGACTCCTTTCGAAGCATCGCCTCGGTGCGAACATATCCTTTTTTAGAGAGGTACTCCAGTACCTGCATGAATGTTAGTAATGGTCTTTTAAATCACGATCATCTACATGATGTCAAGCAGCAATCAATGCTTCAAGTGCGCAGTACCGAGGTGTGGCCACCGTTGTTGGTCGCATAACTCTTCCCGTACGCCGACGCGTTCATATTCGGCTGACTTTACGTAGTTGGGTAGGTAGGAGGTAGAGCGCGCGAGGAATGCAACAGTCGCAGCAAGAGAGTTCTGTCGTGGTAGACGTAGCGAAAAGTGCGCGCGACTTGAAAACGGGATCGCGCAAGGCAGACGGGAGTGTAAGTCGAGAATACGGCCAAGGACAGCTTTCTTTCACGAAACGCGACGGCCAGAGACCGCGCGGACAATGCGCCTTCACCCGCCGCAATTGTGCAAACCCTGACAATAGCAAACACGACCGCAGTGAGAGAGAGAATGTTGTACCTACAATCTGATTCAAGTTTTGCTGCGATTGCGGCCCCGAGGCACCTGGCGGCGGAGGTCCCCCTTGTGGAGGCATGGCGTTGTGTGGTGGTAAACCTGCGCTGGGCGGTCCATTTCCCACGCTCATTTGCCTCACAGGCCCGGGCCCTTGAGGGGGCCCTGACATGGTTGTGGTGGTGTTCCTTCTCTTCTACGTCGGCTGGGAGCAGCTCCTTCACCTCGAGGCTGGGTGGAGACGGGTCGCAATGTGCATGGAGGGCCGGAAACGTCTCCCGATGGTCGCTCCTGGGTCGCAAGTGGTGTTGGAGCTGTTTTGACGCGTGGCGACTTTGAGTTGATGGGGGTATCGCGTCTGAAGCTTGCCAGGACGTCACCGAGGCTTGCCGTGATGCGGAGTGAAAGTCGGAGGTGAGGTTCGATGCGCGCGGCCTGCCAAGCATGCGCCGGTGCGCGCCTGCATTGCGGGCCCTGAGCTTCCCCAGCTTCGACTCCAAGACACCAGGCACGCAGCACGTAGCTGTCGCATTCCTTTCTGACGAATGTGCTATTGTCGCACACACTTCGACTGCAAATCCGCATATCGACCGACTGCTCTACCTCACTAATCATCCCTCCTGTCCACAATCGCCAAACACCCCGCCATGTCTACCGAAGCCAACCAACAAATCGCAAACGAGACGGACCAGCAGCAAGCCGGAGACGCCAAAGCATCTGAAGAGCCGAAAACGTACCGGGAAGTCGCCGCCGAACACATCGATACCCTCAACGAGATCAACCACCAAATTCCCAAACTGCTCAAGTACTTCGCAACTGCCCTGAGCCAGCTCACCAACGATCCGATCCCTTTCCAACATGACGCCATGCAGTGTACACCGGGTACCCTCGAAGCGCGCAAAGAAGCCTTTCGCATCAATGCCCTCTTCTGCGGAGCATCCTGCGAGGTAATAAGATCAGAGTTGGTCAAGCAGATCAACGCTCTCGAACGCTACAAGGTCATACCGAAAAGCCATCCCAAATTCACCGTCAATCAGAGGCAGGGGCAGGGG